AGGAAAGGTAGCAGATTAAGACAGTCACTAATATGCCATTATGTAAAAATGTGAGTATGTAACAGATGTGATTCTGCTATCTGTATTTGGGGTAGAAATGGGAGTTCAAAACCCAATAGAGTCAAATGTATGAAAGATGATTTATCAAGAGCTCTGTAATGTTTGGAACAATCAATAAAAAAAAAAAAGAAAAAAAAAGAAAAAAGACTTTAACACTGCCAGCAAATCTTGCAGAGCACAGCTCATCTCTTGTCCCGCTATGCTTCCTTCATCTCTTTTTTCAAGGGCTCTTAATTTTACAAACATGCCTTGTGCTTTTCCTTCTCCAAGACTTTGCTCAGTCCATTCAGAAAGCTTTCCTTTGCCTGCTCATCTTTGTCCTTCAGAACTCTGCAGGAAGTCTCTTCCTTATCTCACCAAACCCTAAACCTTTCATTATTTGATTCTTTCACACCTATCTTGTATGTGCATGTGTTTTACAGTAAGAAACAAAGTTTAAAGACTTACCCAGCTTTCAGAGCTACTAAATTGTACATCATGGATTGGTACTCTGGCCTATCTTGCACCAAGCTCCTGTTTTGCTGGAAAAGGCCAGACTTTACTTTGAAAAAACATGTAAAATGGTGTCTCATTATATCTAAGTCTCAAGTTTTATATTAATGTGCTTAATCACCTTAGAGCTAAAACACTTCCGTGACATGACAGATTGTTTTGTAAAGTACTCAAAGACAGGCATTACAGCTCATATTCTTATATGCTGATCTATGTTATAATGGTTGCATCAAAATTACTAGGGTTAGTAAATTAAATAAACAAAGTTCTGGGCTCCACCCCTAGACACTAACTCAGTAATTCCAGGATAAAAATCTATATTTAAAAAAAACAAAACATCTCCAGTGTTTTTATGCTCCGCTAAGTTTGGGAAGTAGTTATTAACAAGGAATATAACACTACTGGGCATAAAACTTAAGACAAATCGCATCACTTTCCTATGCCTTCACTCATTCATCTTTAAAAAGGAAATTGGACTTAATGATAACTAAGGTTCTCCCTAGGGTCTTAAGTCAAAGTTTTCAAATTCCTTGATATTATTAGGGAAATTTAAACAACTTGTACACAGCATTCAATAAATATTTGAACAGTGAAGAGGGCTATAAAAATATATTGTTGTAAGGGGAAACTTTAAATTTCTCCAAGAAATATTAAGATTCAAGTGGGAGGATATGTTGAAACATTAAAAATTACTGTGCTGATGTATTTTTCAGTATGATATATACTTCAAAGTTTAGTCTCTAAAAATGTTTAATTTTTAAATTTCATTTAAATATTAAGGTTATCTCTCAAAGTTTACAAAGATGAGATTTATCAGGGTTTGAAAACTGTTACCATCATAATGTGTATATATGTTCAACACCCAAACTATGTAATGGAAAACTTCCTGAATGATCCTGGCAGCTAAACAGCAAGCTTACAGATGGAGGATCAACAAGTACAGGTTTTTAACTGCAACTGGTGTCATTGGTGTCAAAGGAAAAAACAAAACAAAAAAACAACACAACGTGGAGGTGGGAGAGATGTGTTTGTGTACTGTCTCAGTTAACCTAGTACAAAAGATTCAGGAGGTGCACAGAGAATGCTAATGTTGGTATGAAGTGTCTACTTTGTGGATAACCTTTTTAAAGAGTCAAAAAAATTGAAAAAGTTGGGAAAAAAAACCACACAACCCTGTAAATATTTATCAAAGTCAGATGTTCTTCAGGACACATTGCGAACAGAAGTACCAAATAGTTCTAAACTTGTTGGTGCCAGCTTTTATTTATTTTAATGGCTACTATGTGATTGCAAAGGACTGAACATGTACGTGTGCCCGATACGTGTGCGCGGTCTACCAAAAACTTAGGTTACAGACCAACAACTGAAGAGACTTATTTCTGAACGGGTCCTAAAAGAAATAAGGGTTTCCCCACACACAGATCACGTTTGCTCCAGACAGACCAACGAAATTACTGGCCTCATGTGACAGAAAAAAAGAAGAGCTCAGAAGAGGAAGGCGGCCACTTCCCAGTACTGTCTTACGCGTTCCAGTCCCCAGCGGTGAGCCAGGGCAGCGGGGTTGCCAGCGCCAGACGTGGCAGGAGGAAGGCGTGGCACCCTCGCCTCCGGCTAACCCCAGCGGGCGCGACCCACCGGAATCATCTCTCTAGACAGTACTCTAGGCATCGTGGCACGATACCCCAGCTCACCTCTCCGCAGGGCCGGCGAGAAACGCCCGCGGGGAGTTGAAACCCAGTGGCCCCCGCTGCCTCCAGACCGCAGGAGCCGCCAAATGCAGCGACTCCTCATGTTCCAGAGATGTCCGGTAGGCCAGAAGAAGCGGAAAACCGGCTGGAGCTCGCTTAGGCTTTCGGGAATAGTTCTGGTACCGCAAGAATGCTGGGAAATGTAGTTTCCGGTCTGTCACGCCCTTCGGGTATTCGAACCTGGATCCCGCGAAGGGTGTTTTTTCCCCCAGTCGGACCTACAATCCACTAGCATAGTTCAGAGGCCCTACTTTTCCCATCACTTCGTCCCAACCTATGTATGCCTTCACCGCCCTAAGAAAACGGGATCTCGGAGAACATTCTGGCACCTGTTTTTTGACATCAAATATAATCCAACAGCAGTCTCCCCACATATGGGCGGCGGCCATTACGCCCTGCGGAATGGTGGCCGACCCAACTATCTAAATGCACAGCAGTCGGGGACCTGCAGTCGGCGGCCGCGAAGCGTTCTGGGGAATGCGTAGCACGTAGCCCACGCCACTGTCTGGGAAGCTTGGTTGTCCCGCTCGGGGCGCGTTCTTGCTGCTTCACGCCCTGCTGCTTCGCCCTCTGTAGCACTGGAGGACTAACTGTTTTAGACCGTGTGGTGCCTCTCCTCAGGAAAACGGATTTCCTCCGCTTTTCTTGGGTGGGCATAGTTTCCATTCTTTATCTCCCAGACCTCAGTTACTCCGGCCTTGCTTCATATGATAAAATGCTGAAAATAATGTACAGTAACTGTGTTCGGAGGCTTTAATATAGATCCTAAAATGGTTCACAATCTTTAGGATTTTAGCGATTAATTAGGTTACCTATGTTCAAAACTTCGCGAGGACTACTTAACAAGTACCAATCTAAGCCCTGTAGCATAATTAAAGAACAAAACTTTAATTCCGCCAGTACTTATTTTAACAGACAATTCATGGAGAGAGATATAAATAGCTCTTTTAAAAATTGGGTTTGGGGGCTGCGGTTGTGGCTCAGCGGTAGAGCGCTCGCCTAGCACTTATAAGGTGCTGGGTTCGATCCTCAGCACCACATAAAAATAAAATATTGTCTCCAACTACAACTAAAAAATATATATATAAAAAATTGAGGTGTGCCCAAATCAAGATATGCTATTTTACCTATCATTTTTAAAAATGATAATCCTTAATGTGAGAAAATTATTATGAAATTAACATAATGTATATTATTATATGACAATGATATATATGAAACTCTAAAGTAATACCAGAGTTTTATGTCTAAGAAGCTATCTTAAGAAAATAATCACGTATGTAAGGTATTATAAGATCATGAGTATTTTGATGTTATTTAGTCATAAAATTGGAAATAATCTATTAAAAATGATTCAATAACTCACAGAAATGTCTCAAGTTGATATTTATGCAGTCATCAAGTATTTTAAACTTAATGACAACATGGATTTATTGTCTTAGAGACAGCAAAATTGACACATTTTTTTACTTTTCATGGTGTTACAGCCCTGTACCCATTGCAAACTGAAAATAACATCTTAAAATGCATTTAATACAGCTTCGGACTTAGAATAGTTTGATATATAATTTTGTGATTTGGTGGTGTAAAGGGATATGTATTCAATAGAAATATGCTTCACATTTCAAATTTTGATCTTTTCCTCAGTCTTAAAACATTCTGTAGAATACCCTTGTAATGCAGGCCAGCCTCAGCTGTCAGTGGGAAAGTGATGAGCCTGTGACAATAGCATTCCCCTCATTCAACAGTTAATTTTAACAGTGCTTCAAACATTGTTCAGGTCCAATGTGCTTTCACCTGCATAGTTAATGGGGGGTACTTATACTACCGTTTTTGTTATTTTACTTTCAATATAGTGTTCAATAAATTACATGAGATATTCAACATTTTATTATAAAATAGGCTTTGTGTTAAATAATTTTGCCCAACTTACAGTTAAGTGTTCTAAGCATGTTTAAGGTAGGGGAGACTAAAGTAATATTCAGTAGGTTAGGTGTATTAAATGCATTTTTGACTTATGATATTTTCAATTATAATAAATTTGTCAAGATATGACATCATGGAATCTCCCGAAGTATCTCTACACATAACCTACTGAGCATCATAGCTAAGCCTTGCCTACCTTAACGTGCTCAGAACATTTTCATTAACCTATATTGGGCAAAATCATCTGACACAAAGTCTATTTTATAAGGTGTTGAATATCTCATGTAATTATTGACTGCTGTACTGGCAAAAATGAAAACAGTGGTTATATGGGTATGCTTTTGCACCATTTTTTTTTCTTTTGGTACTGGGAATTGAACTCAGGGGCACTGGACCACTGAGCCACATCCCCAGCCCTATTTTGTATTTTATTTAGAGATGGGGTCTCACTGAGTTGCTTAGCACCTCCCTTTTGCTGAGGCTGGCTATGAACTGACCATGCTCCTGCCTCAGCCTCTGGAGCTTCTGGGATTACAGGTATTGCCACCACGACCTGTGCTTTTGCACTGTTTTAAAGTTGAAAAATCATGTAAGTTTAATCATTGTAAATGGGGACTGTACCTTTGAGAATAACTTTGTTAAGTGAAATGGTTTCCTGGTTTGGAAGAATCATAGTTTAGTGGATGATACAGGCTTGTGGAACCACAATATTTTTATTTCTCTTAAATTAAATAATGGTTATAAAAGTGGTCTCTTTAAATATTAATATATATTGGTTCTTATTTATACTGTTATAAAATTTTATCTCATCTAACACACAATATTTGTTATTTACCTGACCAAAGTTGGGCCAATCATGTTCCTGTTTGTGCATTTGGCAATTAGATTCAGGGGTTCTCAATTATCTTCTGAAGCTGGCTGAAGCGATAACAAGCAAACTCAGGAGCTGAATGTAACCATATTTTACTAAGTGGGCCAGAGAAAAACAGTGAGGGAGAAGCAGGGATAGCAGATGGAGGGAGAGTCCAGATGGTATTCTGCTAATAGATATAACTCCTCCCTGAGATCTTCATAATGCTTCTATGTGTTTGAAAATCTCCATTGTTGCTAATACTTGTATGCTGAAGGTCTTAATTTATAAAAATATTTTCTTAAATATTAGGTGATATTTTCTATTCTTTGTTGAAAGAAATAAAGGAGATAGTGCATATAAAATGCTTGCATAAGGCCTGGCACATATAAGTACCAATAGTAATAATGTCTGATGACTTTACTGTTGGGAGATAATTCCCCATGAATCTCTTGTGTTTCTGTAAACAGAGGCCTTCTCCGTCCTTTGTTACTGACTCTTTTAAAGGTAGTTATAATAAACAAAATTGGAAAATACTGTGTCTCCCTCTGGAGCAAAAGGCTTCATGCTAACTATTAGAAAATATTTAGGCTGCCCTAACTCAGGGTTCTACTCCGTAATGCAACCCATTGCATGCTCAGGAATCCACCTGGACCCGTCTGCATCATACCGTGGGACTTTGGGCCCAGGGGATCTGGCACAGATATACTGGCGCTCTTGCTGTGCTATTGGTAGTTGCATCTTTTGTTTCTAGCCAAGGAATCTTCATATCTTCTAGTAGAATCCATACAACTGTGCAGGCTAACTTGATAGGTAGCAAAGAGGGTAAGATCTCATACACTTTACAGTATGATTCTTCACAATCATTACCTTTTTCTGGGCTTGAAAAAAATTTTTTTTTCAGTTTCACTCACAGAAATATCTGAATACCAGCTACCTTTAAGACTAGATGTGTGAAGAATCTAAAGAAAAGAAATCCAGTTCAATAATTATTTGAATTCCTTTTTTTATGCAAGAAATTCTGTGAGATATGTAATGACTGCAAGGATTTCTGCCCTCCAAGAATTTGGAGTATAACCGGGAGAATAGAACATGTATACGAATAGACTTCTGCATAAAGAAGTAATAGATTAGTGTCATGTAAATATTAAAAAAAGTCTTTAGTTCAGTTAAGAATGAGATACTCTTTGGCCATAGTTATCAAGAGAGAGGATTTGAACTTTTAAAAGGGTTTCTATTAAGAGATTGTGAATGGGCATGGTGGTGTGTGCCTATAATCCTAGCGATTTTGGATGCTGAGGCACAGGATTGCAAGTTTGACGCCAGGCTCAGCAGCTTAGTGAGGCTGTAGTCAACTTAGTGAGACCTTGTCTCAAAATTAAAAATAAAAAAGGCTGGAGTGTAACTTAGTGGTAGAATGCCCCCGGGTTCAGTTCCTAGTACTGAAAAAAAAAAAAAAAAAGATTGTGGGGCAAGAAGTCTATGAGTGAGCAAACACTCTTTACTAATCTTGCTGCTTCCTACTCACCTCCTTTGCATATAGTGCTTTCTCAACTTGGAGCACATTTTTTCTCATTAATTGGGCAATTCCTTCATATTCTTCATATCCCAGTTTAAATGCCACTTCTTTAGAAGCACCCATTTCTTCACTACACACACATACTACATGCAGATGTGGTGCTTTTTTTTAAAGGACTCCTAGAGCAACCCAGTCTCCCCATGTCCCTGAACTTACTTTTTGTATTCTTCATGTGATAGAGACCACATCTGTTACTGTGTCTGCAGCAGTGACTATAAAGCTTGGCCTGTAACAAGTCTTTGATGTATACATGTTGAATGAATGAGCAAATGTTCAGAACATGGTCAGAGGTTGGCAAGGAAACCTGGAAGACTGGGGCAAAGGAATTTTATGGAGTTTGGGTGGAATTAGTGGAGATAAAAGGTGAATTAGGAAGGCTAAGGAACTTGTGCTTTTTTTTTAAGATGTAATTTTTAATACATTATTTCTTTTTTGAACTTGAACCAGAATGGGATGATCCAGAAGATGACCTGTGGAGCCTGGGTAAAGTAGTGGTGTTCCATAGGAGTTGGCTGTGGGCTTAGGGTTGTTTAGTGTTTTCACCAATCACCTTTCAGGTGGCCGTGATCTTGTTCATCTTTTTTTACGATCACCAGGTGAAGAAGATCTAGAACGACTTCTCTTTCTGTTCCTCTCAGAAGATGATGAACTTGAATAAGGTCTTTTTCGTGGGGACCTGTGGGACCTAGAGCTGGATCTTGATTTCGACCCTCCAGGTCTTGAACGTTCTCTGGAACTTGAATGAGATTTTGACTTCGAACTGGAAGAACTTCTTGAATGGGACCTGGATCTAGACCTTGAACTTGAGGGGGATAATGAGCGTGATGAAGATTGTGAATGTGAAGATCGAGACTTTGAGCGACTTCATCTATTAGATTTCTTTTTATTACTATCTTCTTCTTTACTGGCATCAAGATTATATTTTGAGAGATCAGCATCATCTTCATCCTCATCCTCATCTAATTTATATTTAGAAAGATCTTCATCCTCACCTCTTCTCCCTCTGATTGTTTATTTTCAACTTCCTTTAATATAGAGGCAGGACCAACTGCCTTTCCTTTGCA